GATGGTGTAGCCAAACAATAATCTCTCCACCAGGTCTTGGCGGATCCAGACAAGCGAAAAGTAGCAAAGTCGACCCCATTATTCTCCGCTATCCTCATGTTCCTGAGAACCTCATGACAGTTGTCCAAATAATCCTGGGGATCATCAGAAGATACACCGCTGTAATTGGTAGTGAAGAGCTTGGTAAACCTGTCCAATCTCCATAAGGCATCAGTAGATATAGCCGACCCCTCTCCGGTCTGTGCCACAATACCAGGCTGAACTACCCCAACTGGCTGAGCTGTTGGAGTCTGAAACTGGGGAGCCATCGACTCCGGAGTGCGAGTAGCAGGAGTCTGGGCTCCTCCTCCAGCCAAAGAGATGGTTGGTGCCACAGGAAGCAAGCCTGCCTGGGCGACACTCTCCATAAGGCCCACTAGACGGACCAGAGCATCCTGAAGTACCGGGGTGATGATGAACCCCTCTGGGACCTGAGCTGGCTCCACTGGAACCTCCTCGTCAAACTCAACCTGAGGCTCCGCCGCTGGTGCTGCTGCTCGAGCTCTGGGCTGAGCTCTGCCTCTACCTCGAGCCCTAGCACGGCCTCTGCCTCTACCCCTCGCAGGAGCTGCTACTGGGGGCTCGGGCTGCTGGCCAGCTGATGAAGTGGTACGTGTTTTCACCATCTGCGAGATAACAGAGTAGAAGTTCACTTAGCATTGAGAAATCAAGTCGCACGACAGGAAATAATAGATGTGAAATTTTTCCTAACTCTGTAGCCTCTGGGGGATAAATACAGATGTCTCTGTACCGATCCCTCAGACTCTACTAAGCTTGTCCTGAATTGTAAGACCTAAGTAACCTAAAGCTCTGATACCATCTTGTCACGATCCGGATTTCCCACCCTCGGGAGTCGTGATGGCGCCTACTCGTGAAAGCTAGGCAAGCCGAGTGTTATAAATTTATTACCCTTTTACTTAGCCTTTTTAACAGTTCAATAGAATAGGTGATCAACAGCGGAATAATAAAAACAAACAAGAATGCGTAAGATAAAAACCTAATAGTTTAACCAAACACTGATACATGAATTCGAAATACAATTCTACCCAGAATTTGGTGTCACAAAGTCACGGACTATCTACGAATACTACAAACAGAGGTCTGAAAGATAAATACAAAATTGTCTTTGAAATACATAAAAGAAACAGAATGGAAAGATAAGGAGATGTCAAGGCCTGCGAACGCCTAGAGGACTACCTCGGGTCGCCTGTTGGACTGAAGGCAGCAACCTCACTGCGGTCCAAAAGCTGCAGCACCGGGATCTGCACACAATGTAGAGTGTAGTATCAGCACAACCGAACACATGTGCTGGTAAGTACCTAGCCTAACCTCGGCGAAGTAGTGACGAAGCTAGGACCAGACTACCAAATAAGCTTGTGCAGTTAAAACATATACATCAAAAAAATAAAGGCAGATATTTATAGTTAAGGATGGGAGGGGGAAAGCATGCTGCGGGGAGTATCAGATAACAACAGAACACCAATAGAGAAATGTAAGGAAACCACGATTCAATTACCAACAAGAATAAGGAAAATCAAAAAAATCGTTGCGGCGTGCAACCCGATCCCATTTCACATAGTACTGTTGCGGTGTGCAACCCGATCCCATTTCATAAAATACCGTTGCGGCGTGCAACCCGATCCCATTTCAATTCAACATCGATCATAAAAGAATTCCGTCAAGGGAACAAGAGTATAACAACAACATCCCGGCAAGGGAGACAATATCTTAAATAATAACAACCCGGCAAGGGAGACAATATCATAAATAATAACATCCCAAAAAGGGAAATCAACAATTAAAATCATCATAGTAGGCACGAATAATTCACAACGGAGTCATAACAATTACAATACGAGACTCACGGGCATGCTTGACACCGACGTATAGATACACGTCACCAAGCCTATAAGTCGTACTCCACGGTTAACAAATAGCAAGTGGGACACAACTCCTAATCCCTCAAGCTAAGGTTAGACCAAACACTTACCTCGATGCCACGAACCCAATTCAAGCCTCAACTACCGCTTTACCTCTTGTTTCCACCACCAATTCGCCCGTATCTAGCCACAATTTACTTAACGGTATCAATAAATGCTAAATGAATCAATTCTAATGCATGAAAATAAGTTTTCCAATGATTTTCCCAAAAAGTCAAAAATCGTTCCCGGGCCCACATGGTCAAAACCCGAGGTTCGAACCAAAATCCACTTACCCATTCACCCACGAACTCAAATATAAAATTTATTTTGAAATCGAACCTCAAATTGAGGTCCAAATCCCCAAAATTCGAAAATCCTAAGTTCTACCCAAAACACCCAATTTCCCCCATGAAAACCCTTGATTTTAAGTTGAAATCATGTAAAAAGATGGATTAGATTGAAAGAAATGAGTTAAAAATGACTTACTAATGATTTGGAAGAGTAGTTGCCTTTGAAAAATCGCCCAAAGATGTTTTAGGTTTGAGAGAGTTTGAAAAATGAGAAATTTTCGGCTAAGTTATGATTTAGCAGGGTGCAGATGTCGCAATTGCGACCAGGGTTCGCAATTGTGAACCCTTAAGGAACCTGCTGACTTCGCAAATGCGAAGAATTTATCACATTTGCGACCATAGGGAAGTACTGTCACCTTCGCATTTGCAAGGGACTGGTCGCATTTGCGACATCGCAATTGCGAGGAAAGGTCGCATTTGCGACCAAGGCCGGCCTAGCCCAGTCTTCGCAAATGCGAATGGGTGTTCGCAAATGCAAGCTCGCAATTGCGAGCCAGGCTTCGCAATTGCGAAGCCTGCAGACCTGCAACACACAGCAGTTTTTCCTATGTTCAAAACATTCCGTGGCCTATCCAAAACTCACCCGAGCCCTCGGGGCTCCAAACCAAACATGCACACAAGTCCAAAAATATCATACGGACTTGCTCGTGCGATCAAATCATCAAACTAACATCAATAACTATGAATTTAGCATCAAAATCAAAGAAAAATCTCATGAATTCTTAAGTTCCATTTTATTAACAACCGATGGTCCGATTCACGTCATATCATGTCCGTTTCTTACCAAATTTTACGGGTTCAACTTAAATACCATACAAGACCTATACTGGGCTCTAGAACCAAAATACGGGCGCGATACCATCAAATTCCAATACATTCAAATATCCAAAAACTCTTAAAATTTCAGTTAAACAATTTTTGTTCAAAAATTCATTTCTCGGGCTTGGGACCTTGGAATTCAATTTCGGGCATACGCCCAAGTCCCATATTTTCCTACGGACCCTCCGGGACCGTTAAATCACGGGTCCGGGTCCGTTTACCCAAAATGTTGACCGAAGTCAACTTAAATTCATTTTAAAAGCAAAATTTATCATTTTCCCCAGATTTTGATATAATAGCTTTCCAGATACACGCCCGGACTGTGCGTGCAAATCGAGGTGTGACAAAAGGAGGTTTTAAGGCCTCAGAGCACAAAATTTACTTTCAAACAAGTGATGACCTGTTGGGTCATCACATTACCAAACCTCCCATTAGGATGTTGGAGTCGTACTGCTTTGAGAAAAATTGGGAGTGGTTTGGGACAACCATTATATGCTGATTATTGTACTACAAACTCTGATAGAGTATCTTTTGCTAGAATCTTTGTGGAAGTGGATATCACTAGAGAATTACCTAATAGTGTCAAGGTTAAGGATCCAAAAGGGAGGATGTTTGAACAAGCATTGTGGTATGATTGCAAACCAATATACTGTCCTAAGGGCTTGCAATTAGGACATAAGTGTCAAACAGAGAGGCATAATCAGAATGACAATAAACTAGGGCCACAACTGAATAAAGAACCACAGCAGCAAAAAACAGAATATAAGGTGATTGGAGCTACTGATAAAATCAAAAATCATGAGACAACTTAAGTAACAAAGCCAACTCAACAGGATGAAATGCCAACAAAGCAAACTATGCCTGATGATGTTGGAGATTGGAGGGAAGTGAGGGGCAGATCAGTAGCAAAAAATCCACAATTGCCTCAACATGGCAGTCATATAACTGTCATAAATGGATTCAAGATGCTGGTTGAAGGAGGAAAGTCTGATGGACAGAGCTCAAGTCAACCTGCTCAACCCAGACTAGATGCAAATGGAGAGATTGCAGGGGACATAGACTCTCATACTCCTCAAACATGTTAATAGTTGCCTGGAATGTGAGGGGGTTCAATAAGGTGTTCAAGCACAAAGAGATGAAGGTGTTTTTAAAGAAGTATAAAGTTAGTTTAATAGCAATTAGTGAGCATAGAGTTCAAGACAATAAAGCAGATATAATCATTAATAAGGTCATGCCAAATTGGAAGTGGTGTACCAACGCAAGTCATAGGTCAAGAAGTAGAATATGGGTTGTCTGGAATCCGGATGATATTCAGTTCATTGTTCTAGATACATCATCGCAAGTGATTCATGGCCTAGTGAAGACAAAGACAAGGGAATTTCACTTCTCAGCTATCTATGGGTTGCACACAATTCATGCTAGGGGTGAGTTGTGGAGTAAACTAAGAAGTTTGGGTGCTTAAATGACAAGTCCATGGTTGATCATGGGGGATTTCAACTCTATATTGTATACTGAGGATAGAAGCCATGGCAGTGAAGTGTAGGAACATGAAACCAAGGACTTCAAAGAATTCATAGAAGATTGCAGGATGAATGAATTGCCAATTGTTGGAAGGACAATACATGGACTAATAACCATGTGTATAGTAGGATTGATCGAGCTATTATAAATGTTTCTTGGATGGTCAATATGCCTCCAGTATAGGTTCAGATAATGGACCCCTATTTCTCAGACCATTCTCCATTGAGCATACAAATAGAAGCATTACTTGAAACCTGGGAAAAAGCCATTCAAATTCCTTAACTACTTAGCTGAACATCCAGACTTTGGAAAGATAGTATAGGAGAATTGGGACCTGACTGATGGGAAGATGGCTAGGATATGGCAGAATCTAAAGGCAATCAGGAAAGCAATGAAGAAGCTAAATGATATAACAAATGTTACTGAGATGATACACAAGCTCAGAGTTGTACTGAAAGACATGCAGAGCCAAATGAGGGATACTAATGTGAGTACAGAGCAATTTGACAAGGAAAAAAGTCTCAAAGTGCAACTTGAAAAATGGAGTCTCATTGAAGAAAGCATATATAAGCATAAATCAAGGGTGCTGAACATCAAATTGAGGGATTCAAACATTGCATATTTCTTTGCCAATATGAAAGGGAGGAAAGCGCAGAATCAAATAAAAATGCTTACAGCAAAGAATGGAGAAATGATCAACAATACTGAGGAGATTCAGAAGGAAATAATGGGCTTCTATAAACAGTTGCTGGGTTCAGCTTCTGAAAACTTGCCAGCAATACACCCTGGTGTTCTACAGCATGGAACCAGACTTAATAGGAGCCAACAGCTCCATCTCATAAAACCATTCACTAAGGAAGATGTATTGCAAGCCCTGAAAGGAATAGATGACATGAAGGAACCTGGAGGAGATAGATTTAACTCATACTTCTTTAAGAAAGCATTGCCTACTGTAGGAGATGATGTTACTGAGGTAGTATTGAACTATTTTTGAAACATGCACTATGTACCAGCCTATAAATACTACCTCGGTTACCTTGATCCCTAAAGTGAAAAACCCTTCTTCAATTAAGGAATACAGGTCTATTTCCTACTGCACTGCTATGTACAAAATTATATAAAAAATGATTACTAGTAGATTGCAACCTGTGATGGAGATTCTAGTTGATCATAGCCAGGCTGCTTTTGTGCCTGGTAGAATGTTGGCTCACAATGTGTTGCTCAGCCATGAATTAGTTAAAGGATATGGCAGGAAAGGAGTATCACCCAGATGCATGTTGAAAATAGACATGGAGAAAGCATATGACTCTATAGAATGGGTATTTCGTGAACAGATGCTAACGGGACTAGGGTTCCCTGAGAAGTTTGTAGGATGGATCATAGGCTGTGTAAAAATAGTGTCATATTCTATAATCATTAATGGAAGTCCTACCCCCCCCCCCCCCCCAAATTTGCAGCCAAGAGAGGAGTGAGACAAGGAGATCCAATGTCCCCATATCTATTTGTATTGGCAATATATGGAATACTTGACTAGATTGTTGAAAACCTTGAAGGAGAAGCCAGATTTTAACTTACACCCTAGATGTGAAAGGCTACACAGAGTGCAACTAAGCTTTGCAGATGACTTGCTTCTTTTTTGTAGGGGTGATGTAATTTCAGTAAAGATGCTATATAGATGCTTTCAACAATTCTCCGAGGTATCCGGACTCATTGCAAATCAATCTAAAAGCAGCATTTACTTTGGAGGAGTATCACTAGAAACCCAACATGAAATCATCCAAGACTTGGGATTCTCTGTTGGTTCCTTACACTTTAGGTACCTTGGAGTCCCTTTAAGCTCTAAAAAGCTTACAGTTGGACAATGCCAACCTTTGATAGACAAGATGCTAGGAAGGGTAACCAATTGGACTACTAAATTTCTATCATATGCATGCAGGGAGATTACAGCTAATCAAAAGTGTACTAACTGATGTGCAATCATTCTGGGCTCAAAATTTTCCCTTACCCAAAACAATGCTACATAAATATGAAACAATATGTAGAAGGTTTCTCTGGACAGGAGAGGTAGATACAAAGAAGAAAGCTATGGTGGCGTGGGAAAAATTATGTCTTCCAAAGTCTGCAGGTAGCCTAAATGTTACAGATATGCTCATATGGAACAAGGCTGCTCTTCGAAAACACCTATGGAACATCTGTAAAAAGAAAGAAAGATTGTGGATTTTGTGGATTCATGAGTACTGTATAAAAGGAAAGGTGCTATGGGAAATAAAAGCAAGTCAAGCTTCTTGGATAACTAAGAAGGTGCTACAAGCTGCAAAGTATTTGAATAAAGCAGGGATCAACAAAAGAGAGGTACTACATGATGAAAACTATTCTATAAGGGAGATGTATAACAAGCTTCGTGGTGATTTTCCTAAAGTAACCTGGAGGCGACTTATATGTAGCAACCAAGGATGTCCAAATGGTTGTTCATCTTGTATCTTGCAATCCAGAACAGGTTGTATACCAGAGATTGACTGCAAATGGGGTGTCATAACTTGTCAAACATGCTCACTATGTGAAACTGCTTTAGAAAGCCACCAGCACCTATTCTTTGAATGCATATACTCAGCAACTATGTGGCAGAAGCTAATTGTATGGCAAGGGAAGATGAGATTACTTGGGCCATTACACACGTAAATGGGAGGCATGCCCAAGCAGAGATTTATCGGATTACCTTAGCAGCCGGTGTATATCAAATTTGGATGGAAAGGAATTACAGAACTTTTCAGTAGAAGAAGAGAAGCAGTATAGATGTTACGAGGATGATTATTCAAGAAATACACTGTAATGAAGCCAAAACTGTATAGAACATTGAGTAGATTAAACTTCTACCCCTAGTATAGGCCACGTAACTAGAAATGAGAGGTGATGAGAAGAGATACTTGAATTTTGGGGCACTCTGTCCAAATTCAGGTTTGAAATACTGCTTGTAAATAGATACTTTGGTAAATAATAAAAGTTAATTACAAAAAAAGGATATATATATATATATATATATATATATATATACACACACATACTCACGGACATATCAACTTTATTACCCTAAAAATCGGAAAAGATTTGAAAAAAATTACAATAACATATTAGAATTCCTCAACATTGGAACTCTAACAAAGAGGTTAATATTCAACTTTCTCGCAAAAATCGACCTTCAAAGGGCAATGCAATAATGGAGAATACAATTTTATGCTTAAATACCTGAAAAACGAATGACGATCGTGGGCTTAAAATGTTCACGAATTGGAGAGAGTGGAGAGTGGAGAGCGGAGGGCGGAAGCTGAGAGAGGAAGACTGAGTTTGACTTCAGATCAAAAGAGTAGTATAAAATTCAAATGAAATACTGATTAATCTAATATTCTATCAATAAAATATATAATTTTTTAAAAATATAGTAGTTGCCGGTGGTGATGGATAACAGTGGTGCTTGTGAATGCCGACTAGAGGCGGTAGTTGGTGGTAGATTTGATTGATGGTTGTGATTCAGGGTAGTAGCTAGTTGTGATTAGTAGGTGACGATTATGAATGTGGATGGTGGCGGTAAGTGGCGATAGTTAATAATGACAGATGGCGGTGGTAGTTGTGATCGAGGAAGGTGGCGGGTGGCGGGTGGTGGGTGGTGGGTGGTGGGTGGTGGGTGATGGTAGTTAATAATGATGTGCAGTGCCGATTATGATTGTTGATGGTGATGAGGTGGTTAATTGTGGTAGTTGAGGTGGATGAGTGTTGTTTGTGTTTGAGAATGATGGTGGTGGGAGTGGTGTGGATGGTGGTAGTCGATAGTGCTGGCGGCTATGATTGAGGATGATGGTGGTGGTGGCGGCACCGACATGGTGGTAGTTGATAATGGTAGGCGGTGGCGACAACTAATAATGGATATAGATGATAGCATCTTAATGATATTAAGTCTATATTATGGATCTTAATCATACGGACCTATTCAGACCCATTAAGTGGTTATGAAGTAAAAAAAATACACTTAATGATTAAGATCTGAATAATTAAGATTCAGACTTTAAAAACAAATGCACTTAATGTCTGAAATCTGAATGATTAAGATCCAGACATCCATTAAATGCAAACAAATGAGGCCTTAATCCCATCTTTAACAAGTTCAGGCGCCGATTATAAAAGAAAAAGAAAAAGAGGGTCAATTCCTCGATTTAAGTTTTTTGAGGGTCAGTGCGCCAGTATTTCTATAGTTTTTGACATTTCTTTATGGACTGATTAGAAACAAATTTTTAGATATTTTAATTTAGCTTGTGACAAGAGGGGTTGCTCAGATGGTAAGCAACCTCCACTTCCAACCAAGAGGTTGTGAGTTCGAATCTCTCCAAGAGCAAGGTGGGAAGTTCTTGGAGGGAAGGATGCCAGGGGTTTATTTGGAAACAACCTCTCTAGCCCAACTGGGTTGTTGTTGTTGTTGTGTTTAATTTAGCTTGTGACCAATGTGACTCATCGGTAGATTTATTCACAATCCAAGCCACCCAAGATGGTAAAATTATATGGTCGAATTTGACAACCTAAATATTTACTACTTTTTGATTGCTTATTAATATTTTTAATTTGTGTACTAGAGGATAAAGAGAAAAGGAAATAAAAAATTTCATTTACATTGCTTTGTGAATAAAATGACTTGGCCTGTATTGCTACATTTTTAAGATTCACGTAGGAATATCAAAGTAAAATTCTCATTTAGTGTATTGAAATAAAAATAAAAAAAACCATAGAGTGTTTTTTTTTTTTTTTGTGACATGTGAAGGGCTTAAATAGTTTCTCCGACTTTACTTTATACTAGGCCAGGAAGGAATTTGAAAAGGAAACCAAATCAAATTTACGCTGTATACAATACAACTATGAAAAATATTCAATGATATGACTAAAATTAGTGGGTATATGGTATGTCTCCTAATTTTCTTTACAGTTTACATTTATGTTTAATGGAGAAAAGTACATTTAGATTTAAGTAAGCTCATTGAAATACTCAGTTTTGACTTCATTCACATGCAAAAACCAAATTACTTGGTTGTCATTCATAAGTAATGATCAATGCATAGCCAAAGACAAATTATTAATACTATTAATCTGTCCCCTAATGCTTGGCGACTTAACACTTGTTAGCAAAGTTTAATTTAAAGAAAGGTAGTCAAATGTAAAGAAATCTCTTCTTATAGTGGAAATTAAAAAGGACAAGAAAGGTCAACCCGGACTTTTACAATTTAATTGCATGATTTGAATTAATCATATTTGTCAATTATTTAATCTAAAACATGAAAAGCTTGTGATTCTGTTAAAAATAAATAGAATGTGAATTAATACATATAAAGAAGAATTTCAATAGTACGATTCAGTCACCAAGAAATCATAATTCGACGTGGATTCATATTTAGCGATCATTGTTAATATCGTATTATTTTCAATTCAAACTATATATTCATAGTGAATGTTTTAAGAAATACTCCCTGTTTAACCAAAAAATAGAATTTTGACTAAAGCTATATTTTAGAAGAACACGGGTTACTGATAATCGCAATAATATATAAAAGAGAATAATTTGAATAGCCAGAATATAATTGAATAAAGCAAGTAAACCAAAGTACATTCAGATGATTTTTTCGTGTCCTTACAATTGTTCAGTCTTCTCCTTTTATAGCTATCTTAGATGTAAGTGCCTTGCTTTGGTCATAATAAGGTTATTATGGGCAATAAATGACATTGAATGCTACGTTACATAATCATTACATTTAAGACAGATTCTCTAACGTTGTCAGCATTTAATGCTTATCAAATATTGTATTTGGACCCTCGTATGCTGTCAGATTCATTCCTTCTGATTCTCGGATATAAATGACTTAAATAGGTACGGGCGCCGTGTTACTTGTCTGATGTCCCGTGCCTCTTCCTCTTTCCTTGCTCGGATCTGTTGTAACTCCTGACTCGTGGTTAATTGTA